TAATCCATCAATCTATTGAGAAGATATCAAAGCTCGAGTAGTTTCCTTGATGCGGGCGTGTGCATAAAGAAGACGATCCAACGCTTCTTGATTTACGAAGATGACTGCAGAACTTAGTGTTATAGCTGTTGTAGATGCTTCACTTGGAGGAAAGTAGATGTTGTTGTCCACTCGTCTAAACTGAGCTGATTGGTTGATAACTCCAAACTCCCGAACCTGTAGATTAAATCTTGAACTTGATACTTTGAGAAATTTGGAGTAGATTATGGCAGCGTCTAGAAAACAAAATTGCCAGTAAAATAATTGGAGTTGCTAAAGTAGAATGTCTTCTCTGAAGCGAAGACGAAAATAATAACTCCCAGAGTTGACTCGTTGATTGATTGATTTCTTCATCTTGACATAAAACTTGTCGAATTTTGAGTCTTGTATTTGTGTAGCCCCCGACTCTTTCTTTAGTTGGGAAACAACTGAACATAGAGTCGAGAATTGTAGCTTCTTGTCGTCGAGTAGTCATTGCTTGAGTGAAGATACATATTGAAGATGTCCAGGTAGAAATATTGAAGATTGGAACACCACTTGTAGTAGTAGAATAACACGGCGTCGAATCTGGAAGTGCATGCCAAGATGTCGAAGCTCTTGTAGACGTCATGGCTAGTGAAGTAGCAAAACTTGCGAAGTAGTAGCAATAGAGTTTGCTGGTGCCGAAGATAATAAAAATGAAGTCGCTCCACCATGGTGACAAAGTTGCATAGCCGTGATAAAGTAAACACGAGTCGGCGGCAACAAAAGCAAACCAGTAGCGAAGACGCGTAGTTGTGAAGATAAAAACACTAGTCGGCGACGGCTTAACCAGTCGGTGACGGAAGAAGTAGAATGATGACAAAAACAAAGACGTCCTTGAACGGCGGCAAAATAGGCCAGCTGTGAAATTGAAGTCACCATGAACAGCAACGGAGGCAAACTGGCGATGACGATGATGCTAGTCAATGATGACGAATACGCGCAGTCGTGGAGGCGAACAAACCAGTCGGCGTCAGATAAAGTGACCAACAATGAAGACGATGACGTCCATCAATAGTGGTAGCGGCATAAACCAGCCGTAGAGGCGAGGACACCAGTCAACAGTAGGCGAGACGTCCGGCGATGAAGACGATAAGGCCAATCAACAGTGGCAGAATCATGCAGCCACGGAAGTGAAGAAACCAATCGGCAGCAGCTTGCGTTGAGGATGGTAAGGCCTATTAGCGGTGGCGGCGACATGGCCAGCCGTGAAGATGACAACACCAGTTGGCATCATACGAGGCGGCCGGTCGGTGAAGATGTAGACGTCCAACAACGGCGGAATAATAGGCTAGCCGTGCAGGCGGAGACACCAGTCGGCGGCGGCGAAGGCAAGCCGGTCGGCGAAGACGTAGATGCCCGACAACGGCGGCATAATAGGCCAGTCGTGCAGGCGGAGAAACCAGTCAGCGGCGGCGAAGGCAAGCCAGTCGGGGAAGACGTAGATGCCAGACAACGGCGGCATAATAGGCCAGCCGTGCAGGCGGAGACACCAGTCGGTGGCGGCGAAGGCAAGCCGGTCGGTGAAGACGTAGACGCCCAACAACGGTGGTGTGACCAACCAACCGTGCAGGCGGAAACACCAGTCGGCGGCGGACGAGGCGGCCGGTCGGTGAAGATGTAGACGCCCAACAACGGTGGTGTGACCAACCAACCGTATAGGCAAGGGCACCAGTCGGCGGCAGACGAGGCGGCCGGTCGGTGAAGACGTAGACGCCCAACAATGGTGATGTGACCAACCAACCGTTTAAGCAAGAACACCAGTCGGCGGCAACGACGGCAAGCCGATGGTGATGTTCTGACTGATCCATTCCTGAAGCGTAGGAGATAAGCTTAAAGCCATGAATCCCTACTGTGCATATCTGGATCTGGATCCTGCAGAACAAACATATAGGATGAGTAGTATCTGATGTAAATATAATACTCGAGGAACATTCAAGTATTTTAAAATGTTTATAAATATATATTTCTCCTCTTGTCAATTTTGATTTCCCCGAGCAGATGACTCCTTACGTTTAAACACTCTGCCCGACTAGTCATAGCCCCCAAGCACTGGGAGTCGGCCTAGGCACTTCCCAAACATGCAAATGAGTGACATGAGTTCGTCATTAATGGAGCAAAGTTTCATGGATCGGAGTTTACTACTCAGGTACTTTTGCAATTATTAAGAGTAGAAAATAAATTATTTTATCTATATGCTTTTGATTTATTCCGAATAATACTTAGCACCTTGCGTTACTCGGTCCATCCAACGAGCCCCCGAGTGCTAGGAATCGGCCCAAAGGCAACTATCCATTGACAAACCAAACGGGAAGCATAGGAAGATAGAACTCCATAACTCGATAGGCACTTTATTGATACTCGGATTATTTCGTAAGCAATCAAGATAAATATTATGAAAATTGTTGAAAAAATATGATATAACATCTGTAGCCCCCGTCTCACTAGTCAATGGCGAACCAGTTGATGTAGTGAGGCAGAGGAAAATGAAAATATCATATAAAGAATAAAATAATAATGACTTAGCTTCTTGGTATTTCCCTCGATGACAACAAAGGAGACCGATGTAGGAACGAAGTCATCCGTCAATGGCGACGAAATAAGCCAGTCATGAAGGCAAAGACACCAATCGGCGGCAACGAAGGCGACTAGTCGGTGAAGAAGTAAACGCCCAACAACAGCGGTGTGACCAACCAACCGTATAGACGAGTACACCAGTCGCAAGCCGCGGTGATAATGAAGGCGTAGACGCCCGACAACGGCGGCGTAATAGGCCAGCCGTGCTGGCGGCTAGTCGGCGGCGGCGAAGGCATGCCGGCGGTGAAGATGAAGATGGCCATCAACGGGGGTGTGACCAGCTAACCGTGACGGCGAGGACACCAGTCGGCGACGTTGGAGGCAGGACAGCGGTGAAGTCGTAGACGCCCAACAACGGCGGGATAATAGGCCAGCCGTGTAAGCGGAGACACCAGTCGGCGACGGCAAAGGCAACCACGGCCATCGGTGAAGGCCCATCCCGGTGAGATGTCCTAGCTGACTGCCAACATGAATTGGCAGCCATGCCAAATATATAGATGAACATACTGTAGATAGCTTGATGTACTGCATTGTTCCTCAAAAAATTGCATGGTGTTGGGTTTGGTCCAATTGATCTGAACAGAGATGAAACCACCAAAGAGGGCAAAAACTCTGCCTCTGTGTGCACGTCATCGAGGCCGTGGTAAGTGCAGATCATCGTGGCAAACAAAAACTGCAAAAAGTCCGGCGGCCGTGACCGGCGCTCGGAAAGCTATGCATGTGTGATTGTTGATTAAGCCATGCACGCACGTGAGATGGAGGCGACTGGCGGCGACTTCTGTGGTGCTGATGCGGTGGAGGCCCCCTGGTCAACTGAATGCATATATACTCCCTCCGTTTCGAAATGTTTGACACCGTTGACTTTTTAGCACATGTTTGACCGTTCGTCTTATTCAAAAATTTTTGTGAAATATGTAAAATTATATGCCTACATGAAAATATATTTAACAATGAATCAAATGATAGGAAAAGAATTAATAATTACTTAAATTTTTTGAATAAGACGAACGGTCAAACATGTGCTAAAAAGTCAACGGTGTCAAACATTTCAAAACGGAGGGAGTATACGCATCTTAGATAGATAAATCACTTGACTAATCAAATTCCTTCCTGATTGCTTGATGTGTTACGTGCAATTGCTGATGACGTGGCAGCTCGATAGACAATGTCTTCGAGTATTGCTGATCAGGGAAATAGCACGGCGACGACTGCTCTGATCGGTTGCCTCCCTGTGCAGGCTGACTCCGATTTGGTGATCATGCCGATCAAGGAAAGAAATCTGCAGCAGCTGAGATTGAATCCATCGAGGTCACCGAGATTAACCCTTCCGACTAGATTGGATCCGAGTTGGAGAAGAAAAGCTTGGCGAAGTCGTCGGCAGGCAAGTCCGGGGCTCCCAAAGCGGAAAGCCTATCCTGGAGCGAAGACGATACCGGCGACGTCGAAGATTGGTTCCATCGCACTCGTCGACAGGAAACTCGGCGCCACCCCTACCTGGCGCGCCAACTGCCGAAACATGAATTCGACAATAATGAAAGGGGGTAGCGCACGAGACCTAAAAGTGGATGGATGCAGAGACAAGGATTTAGACAGGTTCATGCCCTCTCAATGAGAGGTAATACCCTATTCCTGTTTGGGGATTTGAATCCGCCAGGTGAATTATAGATCTGATGATCTAGTTGTGTCTCATGCCCCCTAGAGGGCCTCCTGCCCACCTTATATAGGATAGGGGATAGGATTACAAGATAGAAACCTTAACCAACACGGTATCGGTTTCCTAAATCTATTCTACAATGTTACCAAACCAGGACTTTAGGCCGTTCCGTAATATATAAGGAAACGTAATACCCAAGTCATGATCTGTTACATATTCTATAGATATAAGTTATCCCATATAACTAGTCGGATAACCATACCGTGTGGGTATGGGGTACCATAATCTCCAAACCTTGCAAATTGGAATTAAGATTGACTCAACCAAATCCGCAATCATTCCGATCGCTATCAACCCAAGAAGCAAGTACAACGAACAAACGGCACTACCAACGCCCCACACTTGGCCACTAGCCACCCGTGTCCGTACACAAAAGGTCGCACATTACACGCACGCAGCTCCTCCAAACGCACGTATACCAAATCAACCCTCCATACCATCCCTCCGAAAAGTGGTCCCCACCGTCCCCATGGCCCCACCATGTCATCGATCTAACCCTTGCGCGGGTATGTCACCGCTGAGTAGACACCGGATAACAAACTGCCACGTGGACCCGTGGCCCCCACCTCCCGAGACATTAGGAAATTATTTTTTTTAAAAAAAAAAGAAAAAGGGAGATAGCCAAAAACGCCATTTGGGCAAATCTAGCTCACTCCGAAAGATCAAACGCCCCACCCGAAAAAGCTTTCGTAAATCGAGAGAGAGAAAAAAAGAATCGCGCACCGGAAAGGCGAGAGGAGGGAGGAAGGCTGCAAGCCCTAGCGCCAGGGCGAAGCAACCGGATGTCCGGGCGCGCGCGCGCGTGGGTGCATTGCGCGATCCCTTCACGCTGCGGCAAGCCAGAGGCGACCGGGCCGCCGCGCGCGCGTCTTCACCTTCTTCCCGGGCGCCGATCCATGGCGGAGCGGCGGTGGTAGAAGGGTTTCGCGAGCGGGCGTGGATCCGGGGGCGGGGGCGGCGGTGGCATGGCGCTCTTCCGCAAGTTCTTCTACCGGAAGCCGCCCGATGGCCTCCTGGAGATCACCGAGCGCGTCTACGGTGCGTTCCCCTGCCTCGATGCCCCGTCTATATGGGATTGTATGCCATTTGATTCGTTCTGGGATGGATACGCCATTTTGGAGTTCTTCTATGCGTGTGGCATTGCGGAATCGGTAAGGTGGTGTGCTTGCATTTGTCATGCAAGTTTTGTGAAATGTTTCATCATTTTTGTGAAATGGTTTAAGGCAATTTTACAGTTGGGGCCGCAATCCAGTTTATTGGGTAGAAGTTGTAGTTAGTGCAGAGATTTTGGACTGTTCTAGAGGAAATTGTAGTAAAACGGCATAGCTGCTATCTGAGCATTAGGCTCGTACTGTCCAATGGATGATATGCCATTCATACTAGTGTTGTATAAATATATAACATAAGGTATTTGCTGAATGGAGGGCAGCTTACCTAACTTCTCATGAGAAGTGATCGTTGTCATTGTTATTTACTGGTGTCCATGGGAGGTCTTCTATTTAATCTTGGTCCACTGATGGGAACTCGAATGTTCAGTCAAGATTATTTTGAATTAATGTTACTTTTTGTTTTGCAATTTTAATTTTTTTCCTCTGCAAGTTTAAATATTTTTAGAATTAACTTAGTAATGGCAGGTTTAAATCCGTCTTTGTATACTCAATTTGCTTCTGTTTGCTGTACCATTAATTTGTCTCGTATGCTATGTTATGCCTAGATCCTCTAGATTATGTTTCCTTAACCATTTATGCTTTCTCTAATGATATTAATAAAATATACCATTCTGCTTTTTCAGAATTTTGAAAAAAAAAATCATTTTTCCTGGTGATTAATAAGATCCATTTATGCCTTTCAAATGTATGTGGAAAAGTAAATCTTGTTTTGTTGCTAAAATTCTGTCGTCAATGTCTTTTCCTTCTGTAGTATTTGATTCTTGCTTCACTACGGATGTCTTTAACGATGATAAGTACCAAGACTACATTGGGGACATTGTCGCTCAACTTCAATGCCACTTTGCTGATGCCTCATTTATGGTGTTCAACTTTCGAGAGGGAGAAAGTCAAAGTTTGCTGGCAAATATCTTATCGAGCTATGAGATGGTAGTGATGGATTATCCAAGACAATATGAGGGATGTCCACTTGTTACCATTGAGATGATTCACCATTTCTTGAGGTCAGGGGAGAGCTGGCTGTCTTTGAGCCAGCAGAATGTGTTGATAATGCACTGTGAGCGAGGTGGCTGGGCTGTACTTGCATTCATGTTGGCAGGGCTACTGTTGTATAGAAAACAGTACATTGGTGAACAGAGGACACTGGAGATGATCTACAGGCAAGCACCTCGTGAGCTGATTCAGTTGCTCTCACCACTAAATCCTATACCCTCTCAGATACGATACTTACATTATATATCTCGGAGGAATGTGAGCGCAGTGTGGCCACCAGGTGATCGGGCACTTACCTTGGATTGTGTAATACTAAGAAATATTCCAGGTTTCAATGGGGAGGGTGGATGTAGACCGATATTCCGTATTTACGGAAAAGATCCTCTACTTGCTACAAGTAACACCCCCAAGGTGCTTTTCTCAACACCAAAGAGGAGCAAATATGTTCGGCTTTACAAGAAGGTCGGTTGCAAACTACTTGAACTACTTTCCGATTTTAGAACTGGTAGATTAATTGGTCAGATTGTGTCTAGTGTTTCCCATGCTACCTTTCCTCTTAACCATGTAGAAGAAGAAATATATATATTTGCTTGAAGACGTTCTTTCAGTAATTCCTATCATCATCACATCTCATTTCTTTCATGTTACTCAGGTAGACTGCGAATTAATTAAAATTGACATTCACTGCCATATTCAAGGTGATGTTGTCCTTGAATGCATTAGCCTTGATGCGGATCAACAACGGGAAGAGATGATATTCAGGGTCATGTTCAATACAGCATTTATTAGATCTAACATTCTGATGCTAAATCGTGATGAAATTGACATATTATGGGATGCGAAAGACCGATTCCCGAAAGAATTCAGAGCTGAGGTATGTATTCCTTGTTGAACTAAACACATTCTCTTAAAACTCGTGCAGTATATAACAATTTTTCTTTATCCTCTGGTTGAAGGTTCTTTTTTCAGAAATGGACTCTGTAAATCAGTTAGATTCCATGGAGGTGGGTGGTATAGGAGAGAAGGAGGGCCTCCCAGTCGAAGCATTTGCAAAGGTTCAAGAGATGTTCAGCAATGTCGACTGGTTAGATCCGACAGCGGATGCTGCAGCCCTACTTTTTCAGCAGCTTACTTCATCAGAAAACATTCAGCTGAGAAAGGGTTTGTTGTCTCCAAATAAGAAAGACTTCCATCTTAGCTCAATTTCTCCAACCAAGAAACAGTCTGACAATGTTGAAGATAAATTAAGCAATGCTGAACTCTCAACCATCTATGTGCACAAACAAGAAAATAATGACGTTCAGGGGTTGATCCCACAGAAACAAGCCACCATTCCTGATGAAAAATCAGGGTCGTCTGTCATCCATGAGAAGATGATTTCTCTAGTTCATGAGGAGATAACACAGGTAGTTGACATCAATACTGGTTGCCTATCTTCATTGGATATGACAGTTCCTTCCACCATGAACTCTAGCAGACCAGTTCTAATCGACCAAAATTCTAAGCTTGATGATCAGTTTGGTTCACTACAGAGCTCTTCACCCACAATGATTATGTCGCAGCAGTTTCCAGTTTCTAGGTCAAGTTCTGTCCTTTCCAGTGACTTTAGTCCTAGATTACTTTCAGCCTGCCCAAGATTTCACAGTGCACCTTCTGCCCTTGGAATTACGGCTCTGTTGGAAGACCATGCTGCATTTGGAGACACTAAGAATTCTGTCAAAGTTTCAAGTGCCGTGGTCAAAATTCCATCAAAACAGTCATCACAACAGCATCCAATAACAGGTCTGGGTCGATGAATCTTCTTTTATAGTATACCCATATTGTCTTTTACCATCATTCTCATCTGAACTTTTGATAATGTTAACAGTTACTCCTGTTGTAACGAAGTGTACACCATCACCACCACCACTGCTTCCTCCACTGGCTCCGGTGGTGCCAGTACCATCTGATGATCAAATGATATCCCAGGAAAAAGACATGTCTCAACAGGCTCAAAAGCATCCAGGTTCAGCTTACACATGTTAATATATTCTAGTTATGTAGAATTCCATTTTGTAATTAAAGTTCTTTCCCTGTGGCAGACCTTTCATCATTTCCATCCCTATCTCCTACTCAACAAAAACAATCCACATCAAAATTATGTCAAACTATTCTGCCCACAAATCATCAACTGTCCTCAAGTAACATTACGAAAGAGCCACTACAAATTTCTCCTGCTCCCACTCCACCTCCATTGCCTACTCCATCAACTTCCAGTTCTAGTAGTTGTCATTGTCTCCCTCCAGATTCCATGCTTTCCACCACAACAGCTTTGTTCAGACCTCCAGCACCGCCGCCACCACCACTTCAATCTCCATCCACTCCTAGATGCTCTCCTGTTAGAACTCTTGCATCACCTCCACCTCCTCCTGCCCCTACTTCATCGCCTGTTAGAATGTCAGGGCCTCCTCCCCCACCTCCTCCACCTGCACCAAACTCGTGTCCCAGTAGACCTGCACCACCTCCACCTCCACCTCCACCACTTGCTTCAACTTCATCTCCTCCCCGACCTGCCGCACCATCACCGTGTCAACTACATACTTCAACTTCATCTCCTGCACGACCAGTTCCACCACCTCCACCAACATTATCTACAATTAGATCTTCAGCGCCAACACCACCTCTACTGCCTGGAGCTACTTCTGCACCATCCCCACCACCACCACCACCCCCCTGTAGTTCATCAAATCAACTGTCTGCTCCGCCACCGCCTCCTCCAAGCTTCTCAAAGAACAATGGCAGTATTGCGCCTCCGCCAGCACCTCCTGGTGGTAATGCTAAATTGCCTGGTATGAGGGGGCGTGGACCTGCACCTCCTTCAGGTCCAATGTCTAGGAGCCTTCAATCTGGTCAGGCTGCATCCAGAAGGTCCAACTTGAAGCCCCTACACTGGGTTAAAGTAACAAGAGCAATGCAGGGAAGTCTCTGGGAGGAGTCACAGAAAACTGACGAAGCTTCAAAGTATTGTACCAACACAACCACACTCATAGATGGTTATGTACATTATGAGTTCTATGTTAATGCATCTTTTCGATGACTTGTGCAGACCTCCAGTGTTTGACATGTCAGAACTAGAACATCTTTTCTCAGCTGTCCTGCCAAGTTCAGATGGGAAGCGTTCAGATAAGTCAGGAAGTCGTGCATCTGGATCAAAACCAGAAAAGATTCACCTTGTGAGTTTTTCCAAAAGATATAGCATATATTGTTGTTCGGCAATTCTTCTGTTAATCTGCTAAAATGCTAACCTGCATTCTTTCAATGCATGTATAAATATGATTTCTTGCGAGTTATGACATTCAGAACATGGATATTAATTCTCTTGTTGGCACATATTTTCATCATGTACTTATTCTCTTTATTTTTTACTTTCTGGCTTCCATCGAGGCAAACCTTTCATATCTGTGCACAAAAGGCTTTCAGTTGTAATCATACTGGTTAGTGTGCATAAATTTTCTAGTGCATTGCCATGATAGTTTCCAGTATCACTACAAAATTGTACCAATCATGTTCTATATGAGGTTTCACTAGTAATTGATAGATCTCCTTATTATAGCTATAGAAATATATAATACAATACCGCTGTTTTTTCATGTTGTACTTGATATTTTCATAGACTTCTACGTTAACATGATAGACTTGTTAATGTCTTACCATTCTATCTCAAAACAAGTAAACACAAACATAGTCTTTGTGCTTTCTTATGTCTAAATCTCCTGGACTTGCATTCTCATCTGTCTACCATGCCTAAATAAACTTCATTTGATTAGTCATGGTTTTATTTTTTTGTTACATTTTGCTACAACTCACTAGTAAGGTTAAGACATGCTCATTCTAATAATTCTAATGATTTTTTGTCCTTTGTTCTTAATCTTAAAACCAAACTGCTAACTGTTCTAGTCAGTAGAATGAATGAAATGTATGCATAGTTCTCAGTTCAGTAATGCTTATGTTTTAGGGAAGGCCTACAGTCTGTATTGTAACAGTTGATTAAACAACATGAGGGCACAGCCGTTTATATCTTATTTAGAACACTGTAAGAATGGTTACTATCCATTTTGAGAGTTACTTGGATTCTGTAACATCCTAATTAGTCAGGTTATCACAAAGATTGATAAAGGGACATAAAAAGATTATTAGCTTACACTGTTTACAAAAGCCATCTCATGCTAATCTGCATGTAGCAGCTTAAGCTTTAAGTTAGTAACTTGTGTAATATATTGAGCCTGAGATGCTACCTAGTATTTCACCATTTCATCAGTTCCTCTCTTGAGAAATGATTGTGGCAGATATATGCTACAGAAGATTTTTGCTTCATTCATGATGGTACTGTAAGTTTTGATGTGTGCCTTGTTAGCTTGTTTTTCTTTGTCCTCCATTGACCTGTAAAATCTTGGTGGTTTTGTATGTCGAACAATCGATTGTAAACAATGTTATATCGACTATTTATCTCATTCTGATATGTTACTGCCTATATACACAGATTGACCTTCGCCGAGCTAATAATTGCGGAATCATGCTAACAAAAGTCAAAATGCCCTTGCCTGACCTAATGGTAAGCTGATGAACAAAAAAATTTAGCATGTTTTGTGTAACTATTCTGCTATTATCTGAAGCTACTGATATAGTTGTTCATATGACAATTTAGAAACTTGTGAGAATCTTCTTTACATAAAGGACGCTGAGAAAGTGAAATAGTGATAATACCATTTTTTCTTAGAGTCATTGGATGTGACAACTGTGCGTCATACGCTAAATGCTTACCTATGTGTAGTAGAAATAATCTAAAGGGAATTATATCAACAGTGTTCCTTCTGGTCAGATGGCTACTTTTGCATTTGGATTGCTGTTAATTATATTGATCATTATTTTCTTTTGAACGCAGAGCGCAATTCTTACTTTGGATGATACTATCCTAGATGCTGATCAGGTGGAAAACCTTATTAAGTTCACTCCAACTAAAGAGGAAGCAGAACTTCTGAAGGTGATTTGATTACTAGGGTCTAATGTAGTTTTCATTTCTAAAAACATTCTTTCGATTCATACTATGCTTTCTCGTAAGAACTAATGCTCGGTTATGATTACCAGGGTTACAAAGGAGATAAGCAAGTACTTGGAGAATGTGAGCAGGTGACCTATATTCTTTCAGTTTGCTTTAAAGCTAGTCAGTTCCACATATAAAGTGAAAAATGTGATGTATATGCTACCCTCTTTAGTGGGAAGGCATTCCCATAGAACTCCGTATTGCACGAAATCCATAATTGACAATTTACAGAACACACTCCAGAAAAGTTTTTTCGTTAACTGATTCCGAGATACCATATTCTGCTTTCTGCTGCAGTTCTTCATGGAGCTTATGAAATTACCCCGTGTGGATTCTAAGCTGAGAGTTTTCTTATTTAAGATTCAATTCCCTTCTCAGGTAAGACAAGTGATTTACTTATTTTGCTACTAAGAACTGTGATCTTTTGGTTGGCCCTTTTGGTATTTGAAGTTCATTTTTCCCAAACTACTTTTGTGCAGGTTTCTGACCTTAAGAGGAGCCTGAACATTGTCAACTCTTCCGCGGAAGAGGTGGGGCAATTATTGTTAATTACAAATTTCTTATTATATAATAGTTAAGATTATGCATTTCATAACATTTCTATGATGTTCACAGATAAGGGGTTCAGCTAAGCTGAAAAGGATTATGCAGACAATTCTTTCACTGGGAAATGCGTTAAACCAAGGAACTGCTAGAGGTAATGAAAATTGTAGAAGTATTAGTTGTCCAAGAGAATATTTGGTGAGCAACCAAGTGCTATTCTTATTTTTTTCATAAAGACTATTTGAAAATCTTGTTAATTATCCTTTGTAATCTGGCATGTTCGCTCGTTCTGCATACCTGCTCTGCATTCTTTACAAGAAGTTTGCCTATACTGCATCTAAGCATCTACCTAGTTAGGAACTGAGCCTAGCTCAGTTGGTCGAGGGTGTGGATGTACGCGCAGACCACCCAAGTTCATGTCCTAGTTGAGGCAAATTTGGGTGCCTATTTCTTCTTAATTAAAAAAAGCCACCTAGTTCCTCGTAGGTTGGTCGAGTGTTTTTTGTTGCTCTTAGTTTCTAAAATGAAGTTTCTTTTTTTTTCTGCAGGTTCTGCTGTTGGGTTCAGGTTGGATAGCTTACTCAAACTAAGTGACACTCGTGCACGTAACAATAAGATGACTTTAATGCATTATTTATCCAAGGTATCCCTCTGTTTATAACTTTGCATATGTGTATATAGTTTAATTCTATTTAGTCTCTCAGAAAGCACATGATCCATTCTCCAATGTCTATATGCCGTATAGATAGGATGACATACCCAACAGAAAGATGAAATACTTAGTCTAAACTTAAATTGTTGTCATTATCTGATTATGATGATGTGCGGGGAGCCCAAATTCCTGAGCTAGATGGTCCTTTGTTGTATGAACTCTCAATCAATTATATTCTTACCTCTCTTTCACAATTTTTTAAAAAATATTCTTACCTTAGCCTTGGATGCCAAGCATGTAAAATTCTTTCTTCCGTTATGAACCTTTGAAGTTATTTTTTTCTAATAAAACCAGTGTAAAAGCCACAAATAATAACCAATTTATATGACATGTTTTTGGAAACTTGGATGAGTGGAACTTGTGTTTCTGGTGAGAAATCTGGAGCATGTTCACATATTTAATTTGCTTTCGTGATTGTCCCGTTAGCTAGTTATTGCTGTAGTTTGTTAATCTAAGTTGCATATCTAGTTTCTTGTGCCTTGATGTACTCATGGTGGATTCTTGATAAAAGAAGACTAGACATTATCCAGAAACCCATTTCACTAAGTACTGTTCAACTTTGCATCCTTTATATCCTCAAATGTCCTTTAGATTTCTTTTTGTTTGTGTGTGACTTTAAGATTTAAATATTAGCTTCTTGAGAACCCTAACCTATAATGATCCTGATTTCAAAGTGGAGCTAAGCCCCCTCCAAGTAGATCCTTTGTGTCATTCTGATAAAGACCTTTGTAACTTGGTAATTATATTTGTTTCTTTTGATTATGTGTGATAAAGTCTGAATTATAGTTGATATGCTTGAACTGTACAGTGCTTACTTTAAGTTATGACTTACAGGTGCTTTCTGAGAAACTTCCAGAACTTCTTGATTTTCCTAAAGATCTCGCTAGCTTGGAGTTGGCAGCAAAGGTATTAGATTCAAGCAGTGTTTAATGTTTTGTTTACTTTGTATGTTGATCATCAATCATTGATTGATTGAGTTCGAAGTGAATTGATTTGATGCAGGTACAATTGAAGTCATTAGCAGAGGAAATGCAGGCCATAAACAAAGGACTCGAAAAAGTCGAGCAAGAACTAACTACATCAGAAAATGATGGCCCTGTGTCAGAGATATTCCGCAAGGTAACTACAAGTGTTATAATTTTCTGAGCATTCTTAGTAACTGACTTCAACTGGTTCACTCCTATATTGGGTACATCTAGGTACCATCGTTCTGTTTAACATTTAAATGAGTTCCATTACCAATATACTAAACTAACTGCCTTGTTTTACAGACACTGAAGGATTTTCTAAGTGGTGCTGAAGCTGAAGTTAGATCCTTGACCTCACTATATTCTAATGTGGTATGTGTCTCTTTGATTAACTTTCATGCCTGAACTGTAGCGCCCGTTCTATGTTTGGTAGCCTGTTATCCACACTCCAACTACTATGTTTAACTCATACAACAACATTGTATGATCAGAATTTACAATATCGTGCTACAAGGGGCTAGTGACGAATTCTAGTCCTTGTCTTTACAGGAGGCAAATGATATTCTTTTTCCATCTGGTCATCTCTTTGGATTTTTCTTCTCTTTATCATTACATGTATCTTATATATCTGCAGGGAAGAAATGCTGATGCATTAGCACTTTATTTTGGAGAAGACCCAGCACGTTGTCCATTTGAGCAAGGTGAAACTTGCATTGTATTTCTATTTTCTCCAGCTGTATAGAAACTAGTTTCAGTTCAGTTATGACTTTGGGAGAACATACTGACATTAGTTTTTTTTTTTTCCAAATTATATCTTGTTCACAAATGTTTGCCAGTGGTCATTACACTCCAAAACTTTGTGAGATTGTTCGTACGTTCCCATGATGAGAACTGCAAACAATTGGATCTAGAAAAGAAGAAAGCACTGAAGGAAGCAGAAGCAGAGAAAACCAAGAAGGAGCCAGAAAACGCACAGAAAACTAAGGAACCAGGAAATGACAAAGCTAAGCACAACAATTCAATCAAAGAGTTGGATATCTCACTCCAATCACCAGCGCAAACTGCCAGTGCCAAATGATATAACTTCTCTTGACAGATGAGCCAAACAACACTAGCTTTGCCAATAAAGGAAACCTGTTCATGGTGCCTGCTCCTATCAGTCACCCTCTCTAGCTGATGTCAGCTGGATATGTTGCGCTGGATGATGGATTGAAGTGAACCAGCTGTGGCAAGAAAGTCGCAAAGTGAATGGGTAAGCATCCTAAAGTTATGCAGTTTTTTATACATTTTCTCTTGAATAAATAGGACAAAACAAATCAGTGTTAAGCAAGTTATATTTGTGCTTCTCTTTGACTTAAGGCTTCATTTTCTGGCAGCCCATTCAGCATTCTGTCCTCTGCAGTTATTCATCTAACAGAGCGATTGATACTTAAGAAATGTTCCTGGAGACAAGCTGTACAGTTCTAACAAAATAATAGAAATGATCAGAAGCACATTTACAATTTTGTTTATTTGTTCCAATCATATGTAGGTAATGTTCGTTCTAACAGAAGAATAAAATTTATCAGTAGAATCGTGTTTAGGGGGACTAGCCTGTAGGTTTTGTTGTAAAAGGAAAAAACAAATAATGGCTGATTGTATTGTATTTCTTGTCTCATCGCCGATTCTCTGAAATGTTGCTTGCCCTAGCAGTACTTGGTAATGCTGAAACCCAACGCTGTATGGAAAGATGATATGGATGCAGAGATTTCAAAGAGTTAAAGACCTGAGGCTTTGTTTGGTCTAGTACCATACCAAAAGGTTGATAGTGCCAAAACCTGGGCATGTTTTAGCATTACCTATTTTTTTAAGAGTAAAGTAGTATTTGGTTTGATGCCAATTAGAAGCTAAAACTTTGATTAGAATATATAAAGCATCAAATTGGATATTGGCAATACCACCATGTCTACTATTCAAGCTACATTTATTGGTTGGGGACGTTTCGGCTTCAATCCAAAACATGGAGGGTTCTGGTAGTTGTTTTGTTAGGATTGACCTAATATGCTAGTTGTATGATTGTATGATTATATATTCTACTCCTATAAACTGTTACATGAACATTTCTAAGACCATTAAGTTTTAACTGTAAGGTTGATCCACAAACACAAATAAGCTTTGTTTGTTTCATTGCAACTAATTCTAGTATACGTACTTTTGAAGGGTGTGTATACGCTGGTTAGTTTCCTTCTTTACCTTTTATACAGTTTGCAGGGCAATTTGCAGCCTCCTAACGCGCGTTCAAGTAATCCTTGATTTTACTAAATTTCTATTAAAATAAAAAGGGACCCGCTTATATAAGAACTATGGGCAATAAGATTTTTAACATAATAAAATAGGGTAATACGTTTACAGTTTCACCACTATACAGCTTCCACCTTTCTATTTATGATATCATAGCTATTGTTTCTAGCTTATTATTATTACACAGAAGTAGGGGTGGGCTAAAAATCCTAGAGATCAAACTGAACCGAGCCTGGAGGGCATCGACAGCCATGCGCGAATGCGGTGGCTGCACAGGGCCCTTGATTTTTGGAGGCCCCCACCTCCGAGTGGGCAACATGCCTGGCCTGCTATGGTGCTACCGAGCGAGCGAAAGGGCGGCACCGCTCATCGGGCATGCCACAGCGGTGCAACCGCAGCGGCGAGCGACAGTGAGGCAAGCCTGCCGGCTGGGTGCTGGCCGTGGCTGGCTCTGCGGCCTCAGCCTCTTCATCATCTCTTCGCCGTCGACTCCTCCATCTTGTCTGGTAATATCTTATCGTCTTTGGCATGGTCATCTACTCATAGCATTTTCTTTTCATTTCTTTTGTGAAGCCGTGTGTTTTCTCTGGTTGCAGTTGCATATAGTACGTGCCTGTCAATCCATTCGACCAAGTTGATATACGCTCCTTTGCAATTATTTACTGCGTACTACTTTTCTCACGTTGGTCATCGATTGGGCTGGATATATATTCGGTATATGATAATTTGAATCAAATTCGCAATTACCAATTTACCATGATTGTAGTTTTCAAAATTAAATTACAGTATTTTGAATGATAGATTAGATTGATCATTGAACATGACTGTCTTTTCTTTTGTTTACAAAATAGGAAGACATTTATTTCCTCGACCCTCAGCATGTCTTATAGAAATAAGAAGTATAATTCGGGTGCTGAAAATGATGTCTTGGACAATATTAATTATGAGGATATAATTTAAGATTTCATCCAATAAAACGCCAGATGCTTTTCAGTAGAACATGATATCAATACTACCTTTTCTCTTTTAGCACTAATATTTGACATAAAGTATGCTTAATTGTTTACACTAGCATTATTTTTTTAGAATTTAGGGTCCAATTTGCATTTCGTTCTAGGGCTCCAAATTCTTGGAGATGCCCTGCCGAGCAAATTCCGGTTTTTGGTTTGTAAGGCTATATGGTAGATGTTAGGTTGGTTTCTTGAGGATATTTCAGGCTAGTTTGATTGGAAAATGTTGGTTCACGGGCGCCCGACGCGCGTGGCTATCCATCAGGCTGTGGCGCAGCCGTTGGATGTCATCCAACGCATCGTACGGCTTTAATCGCTCCCACGCCCGTGTCCTGTTGCAACCACCAGCCGGAAATCACGGGATTCCCGTTATAGGGGAGGAGGAGATCCGTTTCTTTTTTTTTTTCCAGTGGTTTGGACGTAATGGAGCTTGGCGACCCCGTGAGCGACGGGTGAGATCCGGCGGCGGTTTTTGGGCGAGGCGGCGCCAGCAACAGCCCTCTCTTCTCCGGCGCCGGCGTTGTTTCTCCCCCCGTGCTCGCTTTCCATACATTGCCGCCGTTGACGGGGGAGTAGCTATGCCTAGTTTCGCCGGCGAAAACTAGGGTTTGGAGGAGCGCGAGGCTACATCCCCTCCTCATTTCTCAGGTGAGCTCGTAGCTCCGGTGAGCAACCCGTCGGCCGTCGTCCCCTTGCTGTGAACTACTCATGTTTGTTTCATACTACTGTTTCTACATGTCCCACTGTGTTTGTTATGACTGTTTCAGTATTTTCTTCCATTATGTTGCACCATTTTACTTAGACTAACCTCAGCACAATTAATTTTAATGTTTTAGCACAGTCTTTGTAGATGTTTCAGTTGGCTATCCATGCTTGTTTCATTATATTAATAAAACTTGTTTCACCACATTTTTGCATGTTTGTTGTGAACTACTCATGATTTGTTTCATACTACTGTTTCTACATGCCCCACTGTGTTTGTTATGACTGTTTCAGTATGTTCATTCATTATGTTGCACCATTTTACTTAGACTAACCTCAGCATAATTAATTTTAATGTTTCAGCACGGTCTTTGTAGATGTTCCAGTTGGCTATTCATGCTTGTTTCATTATATTAATAAAACTTGTTTCACCAAATAACAGGCTACTAGACCCATCCTTGAAGATTGTAGGCTTCCATGTTTCACTTAAGTACTTCTGAGCTGCAATGAAACCAAGGGGAGAAATGAGCAATGAAGTACTGGCTTGTTGGATAGAAATGTTTAATGAAGAGTGTAGAGAAGATAGCAAAATGCAATCAAACATAAAAAAATATTTTTTATATGTCTTCTCTCCAATCATATCGGTATTTTTTTAATCTAGCTCCCTTTTTTATCCTTTTTTTTTGCAATTTCTCCTTTTGCTTTTTTTAATCCTAATTTTTCCCCCTATGTATTCGAATGTTCTTTCACCCCCCGGAGTCAGTTGATTGCTGAGACAAACAAGTTTCAGCCTAACACCTGTTCAAGGAGGCTTCAAGTGATTAACAAGGAGAAACTTGTGAAACAGGACTTGCGAAACAGGAGAAGAAACAAGGAGGACAATGTTTCAGTGAATACATCATACTTGTTTCATCTATTACATATATTTTGTTTCACTAAATTCAAATAATATGTTCCACAAGGTCAAAAAAAGTCTCCAATCATACACTGCCAGATGAAATTGTTTCAGTATATACTCATTACTAGTTTCAGTGTTTACATTCATGTTGTTTCACTAAACTTAAGACAATGCATGAAACAAAACCAAATTGGTTAGAACAAGCTATTTTCATCAAACCTACAATTGGTACACATCATGGGGAGGTAGGGGAGCTGACAGTGCTACTCGACTATTCGCCGAAGAACTCATCGCCGTCGGTTCTTCAATGGAAATTCCTTTTTTCTTCGGACGGCACGATTGCGCTTCAATATCTCCGCATCAAATGTGACATTTGTTCCAGAAGAGCGTGGTTGGTGCAGAGAAGAGTGTGCCGGCTCCTGTCGATGTTGCAGAGCAGCGGGGTAGAAGTGGGCGTGCGGCGGCGCCGGTCGGGGCGTTGCAGTGTGGCGGGGGAGAAGACGGCTTGCGGCGGCGCCAATTGTCATTGGAGATCTGAGGCACGGCGGCGACGCCCAGCACGGCCGGGAGGAGCATCTTCGGAGGAGATCAGCGGTGGCGGTGGTGGCTGCTCCGGCGGAACTCTCCCCTCACGTGCGCCGGCGGTGGCTCGCGCCTGGACAGCGCCGTGGAACAAGCCCCGCGATTTGTTGCAGTAGGCGCCGACTGATTGAAACTCCTGTTTAATGCACGCAGACGGACGAGATTAGGGTGCTGGATCGGACGGCTCGGACGGGCGCCCGATTTTTTTTCTCCCAGATCGGGTGCCCGATTCGTAGTGGCTTCCAGTTTGATTTGCTATTATATTAAAATATTTATAATGTCAAAACCTAGACAATTTTTGACATTGCTAATATTTTGACGACATTGGTCGATATGTCAGTGAAGAATCATTTCAAAAGTACTATTCAAAAACATCAATGATTTGGTAACACAAGTTCTGGTTTTAAACCAAAACAGCCCTTCGGGGCTAGAGGCCCAGGCCACGGTGCCCGTCGCGCCACCCATTCCAAGGCCTGACAGCATGCATGGTCACGTTTTAGTGGCCAGTTCATAATTCAATTTCCACAGTTAAAACAGATCTGTTTAGGGTGTATTTTCATCTAGATCGTTGAAGAAATCTATGTCTATCGAATTTTAAAAATGAAACAGGTAAGTTTCTTTATATCTTCCCCAGAGATAGAATTTTAGTGCACGTAAAACGAGAAAGCTCTTTAGCACATGATTAATTAAATATTAATAAGTATAAACTTGAAAAATTAATTTATTTGAATTTTTTAAACAACTTCCATATAGATTTTTTTAAAAAAAATTATTTAATAGTTTGAAAAGCGTTAACGGAAAATGAAGAAGTTGAAGTCTGGAGTTGAAGAAAAGAACTGAGCCTTAGGTTATGTTTGGTATAGCTTCTACTCCATCTTTTCTGAAGCTGGAACCCAACCAAACAATTTCAACTTCATTTTAAAATAAATGAGTGAAACTGAGTGGAGTAGTCTGACAAAATAAATTAGCGATATAGAATTAGGGTTAGGCTAACTGTTTCACAACCCCACTTCAAATCCAACTTCTAAGTTAAGTACTCCATATAAGTTGGAGTCTTTATTCTACTTCCTCCGTATTATATTTTAAGACTTTCTAGTATTGCCCGAATTCATATATATGTTAATTAATCTAGATATACACATATGGAGGTAGTTTTATAATCTGAAACGGAGGTAGTCCCTTATAAGAATCTCGGGTTTGGGGGCAATGTTTCCTCTAGACGAAGAGTGGCTAACACCCCGTCACTCCAACCTCATGCATGGCTGGAGTAACGTACGTAACCATGCATGAACGAACACCAAATCACTCGAGGTTGAAGACAACTAGCTAGCCACCTAAGAAACGAGAAACGAGAAACGAGAAACGAGAAAGATGACCTTAGCGGCAACCGCACAACGGCTCAAACCAACCCAGCAACCAATCCTCCTCTCCAAAACCCCCCACTTCCTTCCTCTCCTCCTCACGGCCTCACAGCAAGCAGCCAAGCACACGACCGATCGCGATCCCACCACCACCGGCTGCCGGCGGGAAGAAAGCTAGCTAGCAAACCAAACCAAACTAAAGCCATATATATGGCGGAGGAGGCCCGCGGCGGTCAGCGCGTCGTCGTGGACGACGATCGCGAGGACGCGTCGTCGGTGGCGTCGTCGACGGAGCGGGCGTTCGAGGGGGAGCCGCTGCCGTCGCTGGGGGAGACGGTGACGGCGCGGTCGGCGGCGGTGAGCGGGGTGCTCGGGGCGGTGGTGAGCGTGGTGGCGATGAGGCTGAACCTCACGTCGGGCCTCCTTCCGTCGCTGGGCGTCCCCGCGGGGCTCCTGGGCTTCTTCCTGGCGAGGGTGTGGATCCGGGCGCTGGACGTGGTGGGGGTGTCGCACCTGCCCTTCACCCGCCAGGAGAACACCCTCATCCAGATCGCCGTCGTCTCCTGCTCCACCATCGCCTTCAGCGGTATTCCCTCCATTTCATATAACTACGAGAGTAATTTTGACTTTTTTCTATAGTCGTTTAAGTAAATTTATAGAAAAATTTAGCAACGTATGTAGCACCAAATTAATTTCATTAAAATCAATATTTAATATATTTTAATAATATGTTTATTTTATATTTAAAATGTTGTTATATTTTCATACAAACTAGCATGGTGGCCCGTGCAGATTGCGCGGCTAGCATCATTAAATTTTCTCTCATATAATAGCATATATGTTTACTCATTATATTACTCAAATATATTAAAATGACAACATAATTTTAAATTTTGCAATAACTTTACAAAACTACTAATGTGTAATATTTATATCATATTTTATATACGAGTTAGTTATTAATTATTTTTAATATCAAATTTTAGTTATTTGTAAATTATATATATTCCTATATGAACTCTAGACTCGTCTTTTAATATTTCTTTTTTTAGTTCCGAATTTTCTGTAAATTGTATTTCTATATAGACTCTAAGCTCTTCTTCCAATATTATTTATTTTTATTTCTGAATTTTTATTATTTCTAATTATATTTCTATGTGGACTCTAAACTTATCTTTCAATATTCTTTAATTTTTAATTTCGAATTTTAGTTACTTCTAAATTGTATTCCTATATTGACTTTAAACTCTTCTTCCCATGTTTTCTTAATTTCGAATTTTAGTTATTTGTAAATTATATTTTTATACTTTTAGTTTTTATACGGACTCAAAACTCTACTTTTAATTTTATTATGTTTATTCCAAATTTTAGTTAGTTTTAAATTCTTATATGGACTCTATACTCTACTTCTAATATTCCTTTTTTTTAATTCCGAATTTATTTTTTTTTTCTAATTGTATTTCTATATGGACTCTATACTCCACTTCTAATATTCCTTATTTTTAATTCCGAATTTCAGTTATTTCCTGATTGTATTTCTATATGGACTCTATACTCCACTTCTAATATTTCTTATTTTTAATTCCGAATTTCAATTATTTCCTGATTGTGTTTCTATATGGACTCTATACTCCACTTCTAATATTTCTTATTTTTAATTCCGAATTTCAATTATTTCCTGATTGTATTTCTATATGGACTCTATACTCCACTTCTAATATTCCTTATTTTAAATTCCGAATTTCAGTTATTTCCTAATTGTATTTCTATATGGACTCTATACTCCACTTCTAATATTCCTTATTTTTAATTCCGAATTTCAGTTATTTCCTAATTGTATTTCTATATGGATTCTAGCCTCCTCTTCTAATATTTCTTATTTTTTAATTCCGAATTTCAGCTATTTCTAAATTGTATTTCTATATGGACTCTGCTTTTTCTTTTTCTCTGATTAATGTGAGAATTTCTAGACCATGAGAGCGAACGTAGATGCTCCTTTATTCCTTATTTTTAATTCCGAATTTCAGTAATTTCCTGATTGTATTTCTATATGTACTCTATACTCTACTTCTAATATTTCTTATTTTTAATTCCGAATTTCAATTATTTCCTGATTGTATTTCTATATGGACTCTATACTCCACTTCTAATATTCCTTATTTTTAATTCTGAATTTCAGTTATTTCCTGATTGTATTTCTATATGGACTCTATACTCTACTTCTAATATTTCTTATTTTTAATTCCGAATTTCAATTATTTCCTTATTGTATTTCTATATGGACTCTATACTCTACTTCTAATATTCCTTATTTTTAATTTCGGATTTCAGTTATTTCCTAATTGTATTTCTATATGGACTCTATACTCCACTTCTAATATTCCTTATTTTTAATTCCGAATTTCAGTTATTTCCTAATTGTATTTCTATATGGATTCTAGCCTCCTCTTCTAATATTCCTTATTTTTTAATTCCGAATTTCAGCTATTTCTAAATTGTATTTCTATATGGACTCTGCATTTTCTTTTTCTCCGATTAATGTGAGAATTTCTAGACCATGAGAGCGAACGTGGATGCTCCTTTTTCTATTCCTTTAATAATATAACTAGCTGGGTGGCCCGCGCAACTGCGCGGCTAGCAACAAAACAATATTTTTTGGTATGATTTTACTTAAATTTTATTAAATATCTATTTCATTGTCTTAAGACTTTGAAAAACCAAACATTATCATCCACGTATTTCTAATTATATAATTTTTAAAAGTCGCACCAGCTGCTACCCCTTACTTCTATCATATCCTTCTTTATTTGCTTGCTCGATCTACCACTATTTTTATTCATTCTCTTTGAAACCTTTAAAAATTTGATCTTAGTTTTTAGAGGTTATTGTCTCGCTGTGTTTCGTTTTTATAATTTCTAGAAATCCCGTCAAAGGCTGCCATTATACTTCTCTACGGCCCGTCCACTGTCTTTTTCTTTATTGTCATTGGGATTTTAAAAATCGAACATAATTATCATTCGGGTTCATTTTTTTTACTTTCTAAAAGTCCCACCAAACCGTCAGCGGCTTTGCCATTGTACTCCTTTATGGCTCGCCCGTTGTCTCCATTCTTTATTGTCATTTAGATTTTAAAATTGAACATGATTATTATTAGGTTTTTTTTTTTTTACTTTTTAGAAGTTCTGAACCTTAATTGAACCTTATAGTTTTTAGAGTTTATTGTCTTGTTGGGTTTCATTTTTTGTAACTTTTAGAAGTCCCGTCAAACGATGCCAGTATACTCCTCTACGGCCCATATGCCGCCCACTCTTTATTGTCATTGGGATTCTAAAAGTCGAACATAACTATAGTTGGAATTCATTTTTTTATTTTCTAGAGGTCCCGCCAACCATCGGGAGCTCTGCAACTATACTCTTATACACCCCGCCCGCTGCTTCTACTTTTTATTATTATTGAGATTTTAAAAATCGAATATGATTATAAATGGGGTTTATTTTTTAACTTTCTAGAAGTCCCGGCAATCGCCTTGCTCGTTTGCTTCACGGCCTGCCTGTCATCCCTCCTTTTAATCATCATTAGGATTCTATTTGGTGTTTTATTAACAATTTTTATATGTAGTATCAACCGCTACCACTCTACTCCTTTATAGGCTTGTTACTTAATTTATCTCGTCATGTATTTTAAATGGCCTTTTCTTTCAATAGTCTTTATTTTTTATCACCAATTTTAGTTATTTATAAATTGTATTCCTAATTAAAATCTTTTCTCTTTTTATAATTTCAGAATTTATTTTTTAAAAATATTTTTTATTTTAATATTTTAATTTTTGAATTTCATGTGTTTCAAAATTGTATTCCTACTTGAATTCTCTTTTAATTTTCTAATTTTGGATATTATTTATTTTTATTCTAAATTTTAATTAATCTTGTATTGGGTTCTTATATGGATTCTTCTTTCAATATTGCTTATTTTTAATTCCGAATTTTAGTTAATTTTAAATTATATTCCTACTTGAACTCTTCTTTTCTTTTTGCTAATTTCAGATTTTATTTTTATTTTTATTTTGAATATTAATTAATCTCGTATATGGACTCTTCTCTCAATATTCCTTATTTTTAATTCTGAATTTCAATTATTTTAAATTGTATTCCTACTTGGACTCTCCTTTTCTTTTCTAATTTCAGATTTTATTTTATTTTTATTCTATATTTTGATTAATCTCGTATTAGGTTCTTATACGGACTCTTCTTTCCATATTATTTTTTTTTAATTCCGAATTTCAGCTATTTTTAAACTGTATTTCTATTTGGACTTTCCTTTTTTTTTCTCCGATTAATGTGAGAATTTCTAGCCCTTACAGCGAACGTGGTGCCTCCTTTCAAGGCTGTTTTAATAATATAATAGATAGATAGATTTGTTCAAACCTTGATCAAACATAATTAAATTTGACTAGAAAAACTCATAATATGTGGAACGGAGATGGTATCTCCATTAATTTGCTGCAATTAAGCCTCATTTGAATTATACTCCCTCTGCTATTAATTTTATTTATCGAAATAGGTTTGTAAAGTCTAATTATTTTATGATATTATTATTATAGCATTTTTCAAGACAAATCTACGCATACCAAATTTATAAAAAGAAAATTAACATAAGATATTTATGACGAGAGAAAGTACTAATTAAGCGGTTATATGCGGTTAGTATAAGAGATTAATTTGCTAAGCTTCAAACATGGAATCAATGAAAAATGATATGTGATTACATTTTCATTTAATTGCTCCAACTAGACTTCGAACTGGGAAAACTAGCAAAAACGTACACAGACAAACTTAATAAGATAACAAAAGAAATGGAGAGAATTTACTTGCTTTGACAAGTGTAAATAGCTAGGGTACCAAATGTTTTTTATATATATCGTTGACGTCTTACCGCTTGGAATTTACAATTTATTGTTTTTTATAATTGTGCAAATTTTAGGTGGATTTGGGACGTACATACTTGGGATGAGCGGCAAGTCGGCCAACGAGGGGCACATCGGCAGTCATGGGAGGAACGTGGAGGAGCCCAACATAGGGCGGGTCATCGCCTTCCTCTTCCTCGTCAACTTCTCCGGGCTGTTTATCATCGTGCCCCTCAGGAAGATGATGATCATCCGCCACCGGCTCACGTTCCCCAGCGGCACCGCCACCGCTCACCTCATCAACAGCTTCCATACCCCACATGGAGCCAAGCAAGCAAGGTACCTAACCAATAATAATAATAATAATAATAATAATAATAATAATAATAATAATCAGCCAAGATGATCATGGCCAATTAATAGTGCTTTGATCATCATCTCTTTCAAGAAATAATGCTTTCTTTGAGAAATAATGCTTTGATCATGGCAAATAATTTGTCATGGAGAAATTCATGAGTTGTGATTTATTTGATTCTGTGTTGTCTGCAGGCTGCAGGTGGTGACGCTGTTCAAGTCCCTCGGTGCAACAGTGCTGTGGCCTATTTTCCAGTGGTTCTTCGCCGGAGGGAAGAACTGTGGTTTCCAGATCTTCCCCACGTTTGGCATGGCGGCATATCGCCGCGGGTAAGTGAGAAGTTTGAAGTTTGAAACCTCACTATTGTCCAGAGATTTACAAAATTTCGTTCAGTCCGGCCCCAAAATTGTTTGGCATATTTCAAAATGTAAAACTCCTTACTGCCATAGTAAAGCAACCAAAATAGATCACATTTCCATTATTGTTACCAACATTTTACAACAGGTTCTACTTCGACTTCTCGACGACCAACGTCGGCATCGGCATGATCTGCCCGCCGATGATCACTGCCTCGATGCTCGCCGGCTCCATCGTGTCGTGGGGCATCCTGTGGCCGTACATCGAGACGAAGGCCGGGAGGTGGTTCCCGGAGAACCTCGACGCCAACGACCTCGGCGGCATCATGGGCTACCGGGTGTTCGTCGGCGTGTCCATGATCCTCGCTGACGGCCTCTTCACCATCCTCTCCGCGCTGGTCAGGACTGCCTGCGCCATGCGCAAGCGCCGCCGCGGAGCTTCCACGGTGACGGCGGCGGTGCCGCCGTTCCAGTGCCTCAGCGCCACGGAGCGGACCATGCAGAGCTTCGACGACCGCCGGCGGGCGCAGGTGTTCCTTCGCGACAGTTTCCCCACCTGGGTCGCCGTCGCGTCGTACGCCGCCCTGGCCGCGCTCTCCGTCGTCGCCGTGCCGCTCCTGTACCCGCAGCTCGGGCACCGCCACGTCGCGGCGGCCTACGTCGCCGCGCCGGTGTTCGCGTTCTGCAACGCGTACGGCGTGGGCGTCACCGACATGAACCTCTCGGCGACGTACGGCAAGATCGCCATGATGGTGTTCAGCTCCTGGGTCGGGATGGACGGCGGCGGCGTCGTGGCGGGGCTCGCCGCGTGCGGGATCATCGTCAGCGCCGTCTCCGGCTCGTCCGATTTCATGCAGGACTTCAAGACGGGGTACCTGACGCTCACCTCCCCTCGCGCCATGCTCGTCGGCCAGGTCGCCGGCACGGCGCTCGGCTGCGTCGTCAACCCGGCCATCTTCTGGGTCTTCTACAAGGTGTACAACATGGGCGGCGGCGGCGGTGACGGCGCCGACGTCGCACCGTACGCGAGGGCGTACCGCGGCATAGCCGTGCTCAGCGTCGGCCGGCACGGGCTGCCGGACCACAGCGTCCTCCTCTGCAAGCTCTTCTTCGCGATGGCACTCGCCCTGAGCGCGGCGAGGGAGGTGGCGGAGCGGAGGAGGTGGCGCGCGCTGCGGTACATCCCGAGCACGATCGGCGTGGCCGTGGCGTTCTTCGTGCCACCGAGGATACCTGTGGGCATGGCCGTGGGGTGCCTGGCGCTGCACGTGTGGAGGAGGCACGTCGACGCCGGCGGCGCGCGGCTGCTGTTGCCGGCGGTGGCGTCGGGGCTCATCTGCGGCGACGGGCTCGGGTCGCTAGCGTCGTCGATGCTGACGCTGCTCAGGGCGCGGCCGCCGATCTGCATTAAGTTCGTGTCTCGCTTCGAGAACCAGAAGCTGGATGCTTTCCTCGCAACACGGCATGCTTAATTAGTCCTAGACTTGTACTTCCTCCGTATTGACGCCGTTGACTTTTCGACCAATGTTTAACTATTTGTTTTATTTAAAATTTTTTATGCAAATATAAAAATATTTATGTCATGTTTAAAGAACATTTGATGACGAATCAAGTCATAATAAAATAAATGATAATTACGTAAATTTTTTAAATAAGATGAATGGTCAAACGTTGGACAAAAAGTCAACGGTGTCATACATTAAAATATGGAGGTAGTATATAGTTATTTTTTCTGCAAAAGCATGTGTGTGTATATGTGTGTATATACATATACATATATATACTCTCTCCATCAAAACAACCTAACCTAATCGAGGATGTGATACAATCTAGGATAGGATAACGAATCTGTTCCTATGTTGTCTTATCATCACATAGCTTTAGTTTTTTCTTTACGGTAGTAGGTTGAGGTTATTTGGACGGAGTGAGTATTATTCAGTCATTTTTGCATAATTTTTATATAGGAAATGTGATGCCCACCTAGATTGAAAACGCCACCAAGGAAAATGATTTCATCGTGAGAAAGATTCGGTGGGAGCAGAGTGAAATAAATTCAACGAAACCAAAACTTAACCAATTTTGAAGGGAATAAGTTCACTTTTGGTCCCTCACAATTTATCGTCGAGTCCAAAATCCATTCCTGGACTGCAAAACCAGATACAACTTATCCCCTAACTTAGAAAACTAGTGTAAATAAGATCTCTTGATAGTATTGTCCCCATTTTGGCTGATATGACGCCTACGTGGCTCTTTAGACTAAATCTTTGTCCCACGCGCATTGACGTGACGCTTACGTGGCAATTTGATCCGAAAAAAATAAAAGGAGAAAAATTAGAAAAAAATATGCGGGGCCATATGTCTAATGTCTACAAGAAGATAAAAAATAATGGGACACATATGTCAATGGGTCCCACGTAGGGATGCGACCACATGCAGCGAGGAACGTGGGCGACGCCGCAGCCTCGCTCCATCGCCGGCACACCCCCCTGAGACAAAAGTAGCTTGCGGCAGGAGCTGCGCTAAGGCGCTCATCTCCCCTCACCCCTCGCAGTTGCGTTTCTTGCTCCAACCGCTGCCGCCACACCTCTCTACTCCTGGGGATGACGAGGATGGATATGAGATAGCAGCGAGGCTGTGTCGCACTAGCGCCGCTCTCCTCCTCGTCGTCGGTGGTCGTGGGGCTAGGAGCTCCCACAGGGCCCTCGCTGATGGTGACCACGGGCGGGGAGATGTTGGCGGCGGCCTCTGCGGTTGTGGCCTCCCATGCGGCCGGCTAGGTTTCTTCGCCGCCGGATTCTTCTGGGGATGGCTCCTCGGATGACTCGAAGAAAGGGCTTATCGCCTCCTCCGCCTCTGCGTCGGGGCGCCCTTTGGGGCCTCCTTCTCCTCTGGCTTTTTCCTCTCTTCTCACCCTTCCGCCTCTCTCTCTACCACTGAACCTAGCTGCTCTAGCCGCCGGCGGCCGGCGACGTTGACGGTGGGGTCGTACCGGTCGACAGGGAGGAGGGACACCTTCGCGGCGTCAGGTCCACCACCACGCGTGATCGCGGAGGAGGATGGGATGGAGATGAGGAGCACACCAGTCGCGGAGGGCGGCGTGAGTATGGACATAAGGAGCAAAACCATCACCATGCAGAGCCCTCCGTGCCGCCGTGGAGGAGTTCGCCCCCGGTGGCGGGATCCATCCCGCGCCAGCGCCAACGGAGGAGACGGTGAGATTCGGGAGGAGCAGGAGAGGAGAGGGAAAGATAGGGGTGATGATGTGGGTCCCAATGTAATATTTTTTTTACTTTTATCCGAACACTCACTAACATGTGGGTCCCACAGTTTTTACGAGTCTTAAGTGCCACATCAACACCACGTAGGTGCCACAATCAGTCAAAACTGCTGTCCAAACCACCTTGATACCTAATTTGCAATAGTTTTGAGAGTTCAGAGACGTGTCATATCTGGTATTGTGGTTCAGGGACAAATTTTGAACTCGGTGACAATGAGGGACCTAAAGAAAACTTATTCTATTTTGAAGGGAAGTAGAGGTGCAGATGGGCCTGATAATGGTTTAAAGCCCACTTCAACCCCAGCCCAACCAAATATAATACATAGCCCAAATCATCTCAGTCCACAGACATCTCAAACCAAACTAAACAAGCCCAAATCCCTCCTACGGCCCAATTCCCCACCTACCCTTGCTGGACGACGCCGATCCTATCCATTCAGCCATTCGTCTCGTCTCTCCGCCTCAAGCCCTCGACCACCTGTCGCCGCGCTACCTTCCCTCCTCTCGCCCGTGACCTCGCGCTAGCATAGGCACGCCCATTGTGGGCTTCGTACCCTTTACCAGTGCCTCCGAGGTGCTTGCACTGTGGGATGAGTGTCTTTGGACTAACTTTTTGGGCTAGGGGTACGGGCCCCATAGCTTGCACTGTGAGAGGCCTTAGGCCTCTCACAGTGCTCCTAGCTGGACTGTGGCTTAGTAGCGCCACGTCTGTTTTTTGCCTGCGTGTCGCTCGGCCCCGCGCCTCTGCTTGGGCGCTCGTGACCAAACTCGGATGCGCAAAACCTGGCCTGGAAAAGGGGCCGCACGGAGGAATCGAGGGGAGGCGCGTGCACTGTGGGTGTCGTTCCCTCGCCACCCGGTGCTCTCGCATGGGATTCGGCCGGCGAAATCCCCTATTCACCCTCGAAAAGCCACCCGATTCCCCTCCTCCCGCCACTGATTTCGTAGCTCCCGCGCCGGATTGGAGTGCCTCTTGCCTCAGCGCCGCTGTTCTTCCACCTCGACCTCGCCGCCCTGAAGTCTCAATTCAGGACGGCCTCGCCATCGCCTCCGACGGCGCCGGAGGTGCCACTGCCGCGCTCCGCTCTAGGATCTTCAGTCATCGTCGAGGTCTCCATCGCCATCGTGAGAGGTAGCGGTCAGCAAACCCTCTCCCCAACTCATAGTTTGACCGATTTGCCAAGCCTTGGTTCGCTGATTCGATCTCTCCATGTGATGCAAACCCTAGTTGCAGATGGATCCGCGGCTAGCCGATGCTTTTGCCCGTTTCCTCCAAGATCCGGCATCAGCGGCGGCGATATTGCAGTCCCTAAGCCAGCCGTCGTCGGTCCCTCTATAGGATCAAGGCGGCCGACTAGAGGGGGGTGAATAGGCGGTTTTTAAAACTTTTGGCTAAAACCAAGTTTTGTATGCGGAAGCGTAAATCAAAATGGTTTTGCACAATTCAAAACCTAAATCAACTAGTCTCAAGTAAGTGCACAAAGAAGCTAGCCTATGTTGAGGTTTGCAAGCCTAGGGTAATAATAGCACAAATAAACTCTAGTATGTAAACTTGCTCAAAGTAAATTTGCACAAACTAAAGGAGACAAGAAATAAGGAATTTTTCACCGAGGTTCGGAAACTTGCCAGTTTCCTAATCCCCGTTGAGGCGAGCCCAACTCCACCGCTCAACCACGAAGCCACCGCACGCCCCCTTCGTCAAGGGGTGGGCAAGGCGGGAGTCGGCCCACGGAGAGGACTACCAAAGCCTCGATCACTAGGGTAGTTCTTCCTTCACTCCGAAGGTGGTGAACCCCAAACCACTCACAACCGGCGCCGGGCCTCCTCCACAATCTCCTCGGAGAGGTCACCGAGCAACACTTCCACAAGCTGTCTAGGAGGCAGCAACCTCCAAGAGTAACAAGTCTAGGATGCTTGCCGAGGATGATCAAGTGCCACACTAGCTATAACAATGAAGCAATGCACTTGGATTGGCTTAACTCACTCTCTAACACCTCACTAGATAAACTAAGTGCACAAGGGTGTGAGAGCTCTTGCAAGGGTTCAAGATAATCAGGGGTGAAAACGGAGCGGATATTATCCGATCCGATCCGATCCGAATCCGTCCGATGTGAGGATATGGTAAGGGTTGTTAGATATCCGGCCGGATGCGGATGCGGATGCGGATTTTGTCATGCGGATGCGGATGCGGATGTGGTATCAATGATATCCGACAGATTCGGATTATCCGATTTTTTAATCAGATTATCCGATATAGTGTTTGGCGGATAATCCGCAACTTTCAGGCCCATCTAGCATTCTTGCCCAATAACCCATCTATTCTAACCCTAATCCTTCCTCTCCTCCCCCTATCCCCCAGATCGGCAGATCCCTCTCTCTCTCTCTCTGACTCTCTCTCTTTCTCCCGTCAGCTCTCAGTCGTAGGGGAGTGGGCGAGTGGCGGCGCGACAGCGAGTCGACCCAGCGCGACGGCGACCCAGCGCCGGCCGGCCGCTCCTCCTTGGCTGCTAGCGCCGCCGCCGCTCCTCCTCGGCTGCAGTACAGGCTGGTGGCGCCGCTGCCATTCGTCCTCGCCTCCTCGGCTCCTCGGCGCCGCCACCACTCCGTCCACTGTCGCCCATCAGCACGTCTCCAGCGCCGGGCCGCCAGCGCACCGTCGCATCCCCGTCACCAGCCCAGCCGCCATCCCTGTTGGCTGTCGCCAGCAGCCATCCCCGTCGCGGCGTCGCCACTCGCCAGCCACCACTGTCGTCAGCCGTGCCGTGTCGTCGTCGTGCTGTAACTGCTCGAGGCCTAGAGCTGCAGCTGCTGTTCCAGTCCAACGACAAGTCGACGATAGATTAGGTATTGTTTTCTTGTACACTTGCAGTCCAATTTGAAGTATCAAATTTGGGATTTACTGATTTAGAAATGTAGAGATGAGCTTTGCTTACGGAAATTACGTCAATAGCAAGTTATAATTTGATTAATTGTTCATCATTCATTAGGATCGTAAAAAATGGCACCTAGAAAAAGAGGGGCAAAAGCAGCAGCTGCTGCTACTGCTACTGAAAGTAGCATTGCTGCCTCGTCGCCAGCTCCAGCTGAAGGGGAAGAAGGGCCATCAACTGTGGGCAGTGGCAATGAAAGTCCCAACACTATTGTTGTTGTTGATGTGGATAACATTGGTGCAGAGGGGGATGGAGACCATGAAACCAATGATGAACCTGCAGCAAAGAAAGCAAAGAAGAGA